GACGCAGTAAGTTTAGACGACTACCACCACTAACTCATAACACACAACCAAATATACATTTTTATAGTAGCACGCCGTCTTTAAATCGATTTCCAATTTTTCTTTCCGACCAAAGCGTCAGTACTCAGTAGAAACAATGAAAAGTTTTTTTACCTTCGTTTTCGTGACTCCACGATGCCGCTTTAGTTTCCCAACGCTGAGTACAGTTACTCACAGCACTTATCATCACAATACTATAAACAGTTTAATTACTATATCTACCATTAAATGATAGTTATTTTTATATATTTTACAATTAATTAAATACTAACATAAAATACACAAGCAGGAATAATACAAGCAAGGGTTTGGACTTGACATAAAACAAACCAATAGAAAAAGAGAAGGATAGTATGAGACGCGCCTGCGTCCAATTAGCATTAGGTTGGTAAAGCAGTGCTATAAAATCGGATACTCGTACAAAATTGATGGTCAAAATATAAGCATTTACAAAATTTGTAATGCTTATATTTACTATTTAAATTCTTAATTTTATTTTATTTTTATAAACAAAATATATACTATTAATTACTATAAACAACATTTTTGTTTATTTTCTAAATATGGAGATATTAAATTATAAACGTATACTAGAGTCATCTAGAAAGGTTTTCCAAAAACTTTTATTCCTAGTATTTAAAAATTTCGCTAGATGTCGGTGTTCTAGTTAGTTCTTATTTAGAATACTCAGTAAAGATGGCGCCTAGATAGATATGATATTTATTAATTTTTCAAAAGTTAGAAATTAAAATATTATATTAAGTAAGAGAGAAAAATACTGTACGTTTTTTTTGTATTTTACTTATTCAAAAATGAAATATAAAATATAGTATTTTTTCGTGTTTTGTAGTTAACAATAATTCGTATGTGAGCCATATAATCAAAATAAACAAAATAGTGTATCTATGTACGTACCTACTGATACTTATTGTGTAATATGTACTGATATGTTATAATATCATGGTTTAGTTATAAAAGCATTCTATGACTATTAAATAATGAATAGTAGGACAATACGAGCCATAAGTATAATATAGTATAGTATTATGTGATCTTTGATTAAGATACTATGCTATTTATTCTTACGATTGTACAGTATACTTATATTTTTTCATGTATGGCGTAGTTAACTTATGGTAATAACGCGGATCAAATGTAATTAAAATGGCTAATATTTTATCAAAAATATAATTATTGAAATCTATAGGTACATATAAAAAAATTGTAACTAAGCCGAATCTGTACATTAAATATTTTTTGGAAAATCTTATTGAAATAAACATTATTATCGATACAGAGGCCGAACCTATAGTTTTTAGAGTTTTTGTCTGTCTGTCTGTTTGTCTGTCTGTCTGTTACCGCATCACAAAAACCACTGGAGGAATTTTGATGAAATTTGGCATTGTGATAGCTGGTTATCCGGGTCAACATATAGGATACTTTTTACCGCGGGAAAATGTCTCATTTCTAAGAAAAAATACACAAACTGCAATGTAAGATTAGGTTTTACATATACATACTAATATGTAAAACCTAAGAATTTGGTTTTTCGTCATCTGAACGCTGGCGGAGCCGCGGGCAATGTGAGTCATATATTTTTTTTTCAAGAAGCCTTGTGTGTCTGAAAGAGTGACGAAAACGATTGCATTATTCTATAACTTTTCGAATAATGGCTGGATATTCACGAAAAAAATTGGGTAGATGTAATAGGCACCGTAGACTTGAAATAATAGGTATATAGGATAACACTAAAACTATGGTAATATCAGTAATCATTTTATTCTCCGGGGACGGCGATATACCTTTTAAGTTTTTCATGTACTTATAGGGACAGATTACGGTGACATATTTTTATTTTTACGGTCGCTTCAAACAAAGTTACGACCCCAGATTTATTAGAGGACGTTCACAATTTCATGCTAAATTAATATTAATGGAGCTAGAAACAAAACCATAATTCATTTACTGTTTCCTATTTTATGATGTATTTCTCAGACTCTCAGATTTTATTTCTTTGTTTTATCTTTAGGAGATATTTGGAATATATAAAGAATTAGCATTGCCTGCGGCTCCGCCCGCGTTCAGATGATCAAAAATCAAATTCTTAGGTTTTACATATTAGTATACTCTTACATTGCAGTTTTGTATTTTTTTCTTAGAAATGAGATCTTTTCCCACGGTAAATGCCTCCAGTGGTTTTTCTGTGGTGCGGTAACAGACAGACAGACAGACAACAATTCTAAAAACCATAGATTCGGCCACTGTATCGATAATAATGTTTATTTCAATAAGATTTTCCAAAAAATATCTAATGTACAGATTCGGCTTAGTTACAATTTTATTATATGTAGATATAGATGTAGAGTTCAAGTAAACCGTTTTAAATTTTTCTGTGTATCCTTTTGTGTTTATGAGCGGTGCGTGAGAGTGGCGTGCCGGGTTTTAATGTTTTTATAACTTATTTGCTGACTTAAACAAAAGCTAAGGATTACTTCAATAGGTCAAGTACATTCTAAAGTCCATCTTAAGCTACAAACATATTGTGTTGCTGTAAGTGGAAATAGTCAAGCGGCTGACTCTGATAAGATGAAGAGACCCAAACGGAATCTTGTATTAAGTAATATAATTAATCATGCAATTTTAGAAGGTGCGGGAATTGTGTGTTATTTACCTTCCTAACTTATTAGGTAGGATACCTACTCTTAGTTTTTTAAAACTCGCCTTTAATAAACTTATATTATCTACTCGTACTTTGTTAGATTATATCAGTGGTAGCCCAGTGGTAACGAGCTCGATTGGGAAACCGAGTAAAGCGACTTCAAATCCCGGGTCTCGCACATCTGATATTTTCATGTGCGAATCATTGAATATATCAGAGGTGCATACAATACAATATATTAAAATATTATGTAGGTATATGTTTTATTATAATTTTATTGAGATTTCTGTAAAAAGCCGGTAGAATAATGTAAAGGAAAACCGTAGTCTACTTAAAATGTAGAAAAAAATTTGATCGAACAGGATAATTTATTTCTTATGAAAATAGTTCCCATTCTACATATAGGTACATAAATATAATTGATAAATAAATTAGAATTCTGAAGAATACATGTATACCTACTTCTTATAAATCAGTTATTTAACAACAATAAGCAAATGCCTTTTTGACTTAACATAATTCGTTGGCTCACAATTACAAGGTTCTATGTTACAATTTTAGTACTTATTTAGTTATTAATGCTACAAGGTTTTATGTGTCATTAGCTACAGTTTTGCAAAAACAAACCACTAGATAGCGGCACTATAACTACAAAATATTCAATTTTATATAGTTCTATGTTGTTTTTTTTACGATAACAAAATAACGAAGTTCTATGTAAAAATTACTAAACTTTATTAAAATTAACATAGAATCTTGTAATAGTGAGTCAACGATAGTACATAGATTGATCTTATATATTTGAAAGCGAAGTTCTTTGTAAAATTACATAAAAAACTTTTAATATAAACTATTTTTATTAATACATAAATTGTATAGAGTTATTATACCTACTATCCTTATTCATATAAGTAGTTCATAAAATTATATTTAGAGAAACACTTTAAAATACATATATATATATATATATATATATATATATATATATATATATATATATATATATATATGTATGTATTCAGCCCTTTTTGAAGTCCCACTGCTGGGCACGGGCCTCCCAATACGAGGGGGATCAGGCCATAGTCCACCACGCTGGCCAAGTGCGGGTTGGCGGACTTCACAGGTCTTTCGAAAACTTGCTAGATTCTCTCAGACATGCAGGCTTCCTCACGATGTTTTCCTTCACCGTAAGGCAATCATCAAGGCGTGGTAATCATGTTGGAAAATGATTCGCACATGAAAGTATCAGAGGTGCGAGACCCGGGATTTGAACCCGCTTCACTCGGTTTCCCAAGCGAGCGCGTTACCACTGGGCTACCACTGCCTTTATACACTGCCACTGCCATATATATATATATATATATATATATATATATATATATATATATATATATATATGATTATGCTTATCAAGACTAAGGATAAAGGTTATTAAAAGCAATTCGTTAAAATATTGTAAAAGATAATTAATTTATTAGTTAATTAATTAAGTAGGTACATTGTATTGTTAAAAAATCTATATTAGTTATTTACTTTATATGTTAGTTATATTTTGTAAAACATGTCTGCATTTTTATTCTTTATGTTCTTCTTTGCAGTACTTACAAAAGAAAATGTTTTAAAAGGACAAAATTATGATAAAATATTTTTATTTTTCCATTAAATACCTACGACAAGCACTCAGCCGCTCGATTTTTTAACAGTTGCAAATAAATTTACCATATTGTTAAATCAATTTTCCGTATTAAATCGGATGACTAAACAAAAGTTTATCAAATGCGTCCTTTTCTTTATCGAGCTGGCGTTACCTTTGCCGTTTTTCAAATTGGCCTCATTTCGTGACTAGCGTCAAAGGAAGCCGAAAGGGCGAGAGGAGAGTCGGCCATGTTTCCTCGAGTGGCCTTATTAGGTCCAGCTCTTGCCTTTGTTGAGCTACCGGGTCTTTCGTGTCTTTGAGATAAGAATTGGGTCGACATTTCGTTAAAACATCAAAGTTACGCTTATAAAAATAAATAGCAATTGGCTTCTCAATCTACCTTTCGAGTGTCGCATAATTGAGAAAATGAGTTGGTAATTATGTGCGTCAAAGAATTTTTATATATTTCAAATATATTTGATTCGAATATGCTTTAACAAAATTCTACATAGGCTGTTATTTTTATAATATACTTATATGGGAGAGCTGTTTCCTGAAAAGCAATAAGTAGGTACATATTACTTTAATATTTTTAAATAATTATCTTTTCGCGATTTTAATTTATCCTGTGTTAACTGTAAGCTTAGCTTTTACAAGATAAATTACATGTCAAACTTAGTCAAGGTATTAATTAGACGTCGACGTGATGTCGTGCTCAGTACTTGGAATGACCTGGATACGGGCGGAGGCTGCATCAGGGGTGCGGCGAATCGATGTGTTGCCATGGCGACCGCGACGTCTGCCGAGAAGCCTGCGCTCTACTGTCCCTTTCTGTCTCGCCTCGATATCATATCATACAACGCTGAAGAGAAAAAAGGCAAAACTTCGACTGAAAACACACGAAAACCTACTTTAAGTGATCGGAAATGAGTAAAAATTTCCCCGCTCGGGGCCTGTTAACTGTCTCTATGGATGTGGATGTAAATCTTACGCTGTAATATAAGGAAGAAACTGTTTCCACAGTCGATAAAGACAAAAGGGCTGCTGCTGCTTTAGGAAAAACATTCGTAAAAGTAGGGTGTTAGGACTGAAAGTGTTTCTCTTGGGATTATGTGCTACCTCACCTGTGTATGTGGTGCGGTCGGACGGCACTCGGTGGGTGGCTTACAAGATATTTGGGGTTTGTTCCGAGTCTGTTAACATCTGGCCCCTTAAATAGGAAGGGTAAAGTCTGCGCTTCAGGTCGCTGTAATTAATTATTTATTTTTGTTTCGGTTTGTTTGCGGTCTAATTAGAATGGGGTAAGATTTGGAGATTGAATTTGTTATACAATAGGTACTTTTAGATAAGTTAAATGGGATTTACAAATTACGTATTTTGTCACATTCGAGATATAAATGTATCAGCGTGAATCATAAAATATATATAAATGAATATGAAGTTAGAAAGTTTTCTGTTAAAAATAAATTATCTATACATATAATAAAATTGTAACTAAGCCGAATCTGTACATTAAATATTTTTTAGAAAATCTTATTGAAATAGACATTATTATCGATACAGAGGCCGAATCTATAGTTTTTAGATTTTTTGTTTGTCTGTCTGTCTGTCTGTCTGTTTGTCACCGCATCACAGAAAAACCAATTTTGATGAAATTTGGTATGGTGATAGCTGGTTATCCAGGTCAACATATAGGATCCCCCCCAACGTGCGTTCACCTTGTCGTGATGGGGGGGGGGGGGGCTCAGTAGTGCCCGGCAATCCAACCGGGCGCGAAGCTAAGAAACGCACAGGGAGGTTGCCCACTTCGGTGGGCGGTGGGAGGTGGCCCTCTTCGGGGGGAGGTGTATCATGCGGGTTGCTCCTGGTACTTCTCTGATAGCAGAGTGGACCTTGGAGCAACCCCATGGTTGTGGTGGTCTGCTTCGGCAGACCTGCCGTCGGGGCGTCGTAGTTGAATGCGTAAGCGATCCTGCGACGCCCCATTAAGACGGGTGAAGGTTTTGTTGGGTTTTAGTGGGTAGTACTGGCTGTATTACGCCGGTGAGTCCCACACGTCGTGCGTAAATGCATTTCCCAACGTTAAAAAAAAAAAGTCAACATATAGGATACTTTTTACCGCGGGGAAATGTCTCATTTCTGAGAAAAAAAATACAAAAACTGCAATGTAAGATTATACTAAGTAATATGTAAAACCTAAGAATTTAATTTTTGGTCATCTGAACGCGGGCGGAGCCGCGGGCAATGCTAGTAGCATAGGCATATGTCTTTGGAAATGGAATATAGAGGCGATTTTTTTGTTATGTTTATTGATTTTTAAGCGTATTTTAGATACATGTACCTCTACCTACACACGATAGACATATAATCTACGCTAACTAGGAAAAGGTGTGCTTTATATTATGCATATGTATCTATAAGTTTAATATTCTTTGTTTAATTCTCTGCGTTTCACAGTGAAATCATAATACCATGAAATTCTGAATAAGATCCTTTCTATGACTTAGAACGAGAATTTTATTATATAACACCTTGCTTCACTCTGTTGTATCCTTAAGTGCATTTTGTAGGTTCCGACTTTAATTAAAATTATTATAATTTGTAGACACATTTTTATTAGAACGTAAATATAGCTTTCTATTAGTGAAAGAATTTTCCTTATCAAATGAGTAATTTCAGAGATTACCCCCCCACATACAAACTTACAAATTCTACCTCTTTATAATATCATTAATTTAGATTCCCAATAAGCTTAAAGTGAATGAAATGATAAATGGCGTCGCTAGAAAGACACCTTAAGTCGAAAGTATTCTTTAACAAACATACATTTTTGAATATGCATACGTACATTAATCACTCATAAAAAAGACAAAGCGACCATGTTCATATCTACATCGGGGTTCATTAAAAAATAGCCAAGGCTTCTTAATGACCGTCCATGTCACGTAACACGCTAATATTTATGTAAATTGCGGAGAATATGATTAGTTGTGTCGCCTCCCCTCTGATAATCATATTTACGGCGGCCCCCTCAGGGGGAACTCGGTCGAGCTTCCTCGACAGCCTTTCCTTGGCACTTCTCGGAACAATTTGTATGCATAAATCTGACGCTTGCGATATTTTTAAAACGATGATTGTCATGTGAATTAGAATAAAATAAATGTCTTTTACTTTCTATAGGTTTTTATTGTGATTTAAAATATTTTCAACAATTCAGCTATAAGTATATTTAAAAATAAAGTATTTTATATTGATATTTAATAATAAAAAATATATTGCTCACATTAAATAAAATATAGTTAACCATATTGAAAAGAATTTGTGAAAAATGTCAATATGTACGTAGTTATTAGTATTGTTATTGACTCTACATTGCATCTGATTCAAAATGACGTAGTTCTAGGTTAAGCAACATGATGTGGTTCCACCCGTCTGTATATATTTATTTAGTTTCGAACGAGTTTTGGATATTTTAATTTAAGCTATTATTTGTGCAATTAAAATATTCATTAAATTGGCCCAGCCATGTTAGATTAATTTGTTTAAAGAAATAGATTCAAACAGACAAAAATAAAAAAATGTAGATTTGATTTTTATTACGTTCCAATTATCTCCTAAACACAAATTTTGTTCATACTTTGATCTCATTACTATTACAATATATATAATGTAGATATATACGTCGGCGGCCGATCGTAAAACTTTTGTCAAATCCTATTAGCAGTACAGAAGATGTACTCGCCGACCCCAAGTGATTGGGAAATGGGCAGGGAGAAGAAGATATCGGAGAGGATGTCGGAGGAGGATTAAGTAGAAATGAATTATAATTTAATTTGGTATATTGCTCACATTAAAAAATATAGAATTACCTAACTATATTAAAAAGAGTTTGTGAAAAATGCCAATACGTAGTTACTAATATTGTCATAGACTCTATATTGCGTTTCATTCAAAATGACAATGTTCTAGGTTTTACAAGATGATGTGGTTCCTTTTTCTGTTAGAATGTAAAACCTTATTATTGTTTAAAGACACAATGTTATATTTCGTCAAATCAAATTCAAATTAAGCGTCGAGGCTACGTCTCGAGCGGGATCGAGACGCTATCATGACATTCGTTGGAGATATGTCTTCTTGTCTTGGTAATGGTGATTGATGATCGTTAGAGTGTTGTGTGTTGAAGTCGTTGCTCAATTATACTATTAGAATTGTCGTTACAAGTTTATAATATTGTAATTTTCCTCATTGTATTGAGTATAGAATAATTTATTTTGTGACTGCATTGTGCCATGATAACACCCAAGTTCATGTCGGTAGAAAACGGATACCCCGTCATATATAGTTTGATGATTAAAAATGTTAAAAGTGCGTTTGATATAATACTTTCTTAGTAATTATTATTAAGTAACTAGCAGAATCTGCGGCTTCGCTTGCGCTAAAACTACAAATTTTTAAAAAAAAAGTTAGTTTCATACAAACTTTCATCCCCTATATTACCTCCTTATAGGATGAATTTCGAAAAATGCTAAAACACGGATTTATTTAATTTTATTGAAGAGCATTAATACCAAGTAATTCTGATCATAATTTTTTGGATTGTCTTATAACGTCTTTTCCCGTTGGAATTAGATAACGTCCCGCGATAAAAAGTAGTCTATGTTACTCTCCAGCCCTCCAACTATCTTCACACAAAAAAATCACGCCAATCCGCCACTCCATTTCGACGTGAAAGAACGACAAACAAGCAAACACACTTTCACATTTATAATATTAGTGTGGATTATTATTAAATAGTAGTAAATAGTATTTAAAAAGTCCTTTTGAATAATCTTTAAAAAAATGTTTAAGTGCGGGAGACACTGTAACATTCGATAACTGATTCAACCTCTTTGGCCAATAAAAAATATTACTCAGTGAAACAAGCTCTTATTTACCTCGTTTCTTATAATTTCAAATTCATTAAATAGGGTGAATTCGTCATTGATGTCGTTGATTGATAATAGCACCTAAAGCACATACAAAAAAGCGAAAAATGATCAAAGAAGTCAAGGACCCGTTGAAAATTGAGCTCTCTTATTAGATTTTAGAAGAAGTATTTTTTAACCGACTTCCAAAAACGAGAAGGTTCTCAATTTTTTAATGTATGTTCACCAATTACTCGAAGACGCCTGAACCGATTTGGATTTGTTTTTGTTTCGAAGGATATATAATATAGGTAATAGGTACCTATACATCCCAGGTGGTCCCATTTATCGAAATCGGTCGAGTGGTTTTTAAAAAATCAACAATATTATTGTTAAAAACTTCCTTCTTAGAAATTACTTGCTTATTACGTCTACATTAAAAATGGGAAAAAAAATAAAAAAAACTGAGTTCCAGACACTGAAATGTAAAAAATATCTAAACGGTAGGTATCTATTCTACATGAAAACAAACATTTAGAATAGATACGTACCTAATCAGATATTTTCGAAGTCGGTGCCAGCCGACAATATTTTAAGATATTGTATATATGATTAGGTACGAACTCTAATTATAGTTAAAATATTACCTATACATCAATTTGTGATGTATTTTACGTATCGAAATGTATAAGATTTGTTTTGGCTGGCACCAATTTCGAAAATATCTGATTAGATATCTATTCTAAATGAAAACCCTGTTTAGTTATTTTTTATATTTTAGTGCCTGGAAATCAGTTTATTTCAATAGCAAATCGAAGGAGTCGGGTTCGAAAAAAGTGAGATACCTACAGTATTTGATTCACGACTTGACAGGCTTGCTTAGAGGAATGAATGTTGGTAGAATATTTTTATGTTAATTAATGAAATATTTGTATATAATCGGGTGAATGTTATAGAAACGCATATATCCTACAAACAAAAAAAAACATACATTTTTATTTATATATCTGTAAATGTGAAAATTAGAGTAACATGTATAGAGTAATATGTATAGAGCATATAATTTTAGGAGGATACAAACTTCAATACTGCTGTATGAAATAAAATGGAAATGACTAATTACATCAACTTCCCTTGTAATCGTTTGTATGGTTTCTCAGCAACTTGTACTTCAGTTGAGTTTTCCCACTCCCTCGTATACTTCTCTTTAACTTTTTTATGCATGAAACTGACTGTTTAAGCCATGATCATAATATTTATAAAAACAGCTTTATAGTAGCTTCACTTATGTTCATAAAGCGTCTGTTTTTTATTTGTATAATATTTATATACTAAGAGAAAAAAAAATTGAGTATGAATGTTCTGCTCATGTATAAAATGTATTTAAATGGCCGAGGCATTGTGTATTGCCTATGTCATAAATTTTTTGTTAAGATAAGAAGATAATATTTAATGTAGAGTACAATTGTTCATTTAAAATGATGTCGTGACACGAGAATCGCTTACATTTATTTGATGAGATATTCATACTCGTACAGATCTAGTAAGTATTCAGGTTTGATAGTCAATCTAGATAACAGTATTTTGTTATATTACCTATGTATGTAGATATAGCCACATCTACACTATCTGTCATTGGATACTGAACAAAAGAAAGAGAGAGTGTCCAGCGGAGACAATGTTCACGTCTTGAACGTGATTGGTTATAATTATTTCAATAAAACGTGTCACGCAATGTTAAAGAAATGTTGGTAGCGAGGTAGTAATGAGTGTAGCGTGTGGGTGGTAGAGCTGCGGCCTGAATCGTTCGTGTCTGTAGTGACAGTTGTCGAGCGGCCGCGGGTCGAGACAGCGCGGTCACTATCGCGTTTCCCGCGTGAAAATCGCTTTCCCCGCGGTCGCCGTGCGGCGGAGCACGTGAACGCAGTGTCCCGTCGACCGCTCGCGTGACACGCCGCGCCCGCACACTCCTGCCCCGCAGCAGGACCGGCGATCCCGACGCCCGCCCGACCCACACTGCGCCCGCTCCGCCGAAACTCGCGCGCGCACCCCGAACGTTCCAAATTTAAATACAAAACTTTTTAATAACTCATTCGGTCTCATTGATTTCTAATTACGGCCAATATCCTGTTTGCCGAAGTGGAGGCGATGCGGTCGAAGGCAGTGGCGAGGCGTCTTCAGGCGCAAGGTGAGTTCGTTGAAAGCACTTTTAAATAATATTTAAAAAGAAAATTCAATTTAATAAAGAAAGAAAATTAACCGGACTTCAGCCTGAAAGGATGCGCAGTAGGTATAAAAGATACAGACAGTGTGATGCGCTCGCCACGCGCCGCCATTGGTCGACGCCTCCCCCGCCTGACAAGATAGCAAGGGCCATCCTCCGTCCACTGTCACGCTCTAAAGTACCTCGCGTACATGTAATAGAGTTTATTTTTCATTGACTCGCTATTGGGAGGGACGATCCCTCTGTTGTCATTTGTCATTGGATGAGCACAGAGGAATTTCATTATTTATTTACATTATGTGCCTCTTGGAAATGTCAATTGTGCTTCCGTTTTACATATTAAATTATTTTACATACGAGTATGTATGTGAATTAAGTACTGGAGTTTATATTTATCATTTGTTTTTAGTTTCATTTTTAAAATGTAAGGCAAAGATTTTTCACGTTAGTTCTTTTATGTTACAGATAAGTAGAAATTTTTATTTGTTGTGTTTTTATAGTATCGCTTTCAGCAATATTTATCAACAGTTACAGTTGCACAATTACATAAAGAAGATAATCTAGAATTTTATAATGAGGTCTTAACTCTACGGTCTACATAATATTACCTGGAGATGTATATTGTATCATTTAATTTGAAATCTTTAATTTTAGCAAACTTGTTTATGGATGTTTATTCTCTCTATGATGATCTATTGTACGTACAATAGATCATATTATTATTTTTAAAATTTAATTTTTATGTACAAAATACATATCTATAATAAAATTCTGAGTCGAATCTATACATTAAATATTCTTTGTGATCATTTTATTGAATTAGTCATTATTATTGATACAGAGACCGAGTTTTTTTCTGTTTGGTAAGTTTAAAAAAAAGTTTTTGTCTGTCTGTCTGTTTGCCTGTCTGTCTCATAGAGTCGTCACGAGAAACCCACTGGGTAGATTTTGATGAAATTTGGTATGATGATAGTTAGTTATCCGGGTCAACATATAGGATACATTTTACTGCGGGAAAATATCTCATCTCTGAGAAATTTATACTAAACGTTAAAGCGTAACTAGGGATGAACCTGAGCAGAGTGAGGGTGAGTCGCTGGTTACCGTCATAAAAATATTTTTACAAAATATAATATTTTTATAGTATCTTAATAGGTCAACGTAATGCTAAGTAACACTTGAGTATTGAGAAGTAATAAAAAATTGACGTTTTTTTTAGAGCCATTGTCTACAAATTAACCCATTTTAATATTAATTACTTGACCGAACGATGACTTCTGTCCTCGTTTTTACAATAAGCATCAAAACGACACTCTTGCCAGTACCATCTATAGAACTGTTAAAGTATTGAATTAGAATTATTAAAGTTATTATAATATGAATTGCTTATTTTTATTGTCTGTTTGTCAGTTACTTTTATGCATTTGGGGAATGGATTGACGTAATTTTCCCATAGAGTTTATAAGCTAAAGAACGCTTATCTTTTACACCTGTACATGAAGTACTATCCAAGAAATAATAGCCTGTTATGAAAGATTTTTAGTGAAGCGCTTGAGCGTACGCAAGTCATTAATATATAAAAGAGACGAACACTGTTTATGAATATAGCATAAAACTTAATTCTATAGCGTTAAATCTATACCTACTAATGTTATACAGAAGTAAAGTTTGTGAGTTTATAAGATTGTGAATTTGTGACGTTGTAGGGGGTAACCTTTGTATTTACTTAACCGATTTCGATGAAATTTGGTAAAAAGATAGTTTGAGATCTTGGGAAGGACATAGCGGGAAAATATCTCATTTCTGAGAAAAAATACAAAAACTGCTATATAAGAGTATACTAATATGTAAAACCTAAGAATTTGTTTTTGGTCATCTGAACGCGGGCGGAGCCGCGGTTAATGCTAGTATAATATATTATTGTTCATTGGTAATGATATGAATTTACATTTATGTCAATTTGAACATTAGAATATCAATATATTCTTATATTATCTTCAGTATTTATTGAGCCACTCAGAATAATATAGTATACATATAGGTAATATAATAACTTCAATGATTCTATTGATATTCACCATATCTGAGCAGTTTTATCGTTTGATATTAAACTGGAACATGAATACCTGTTTCGAAACGCGATAGTGTATGCATATGTTTTATATTGTGTGAAAACTATTGATTGTTGCTGTAAGTCGATATTTTTATTTATCTCCATGTCCGTGTGTATCGAATTACCAAATAGAATTATTTTGTCTTGCCCATAAAATTGCAACTTGCTCTTTGCACATCGTCATATTAAAATGAAAATTAGATATAGTTCTTATCTCAGTTGTTGTCATGGAAATAAATATCTGCATAGATTTATTTTTTTAATGCAATTACAGAGTTTCAGTGTAAACAATCAACATGAATGTTAGTGAAGCTGGTAGTCGTACGCTCTAAATAAAAGTATAAAATTTGTAGGTATGTTATATATAAAGCTCTCCCAACCTCGTTTAATATCTGGCCACGTCTTTACGACGCTCATAAACGTCCTCCGGCGAAATCTCATCCCAGTGTCGCGAAATTCGATTCCAGACTCTTTTGTGTGGCTCAACTGATTCGCTTTGGATGTTGTATAATTTTACTCTTCAAATAAAGTCCTTCAAGTCAATGGCCTCATTTACTTTGATTTGATTTTATATATTTGAACCAGCGACAACAAATTTTAGAGCATACGTTTTCAGGACAAATGCGCTGTCTTCCATAAATAACTTGAACAATATTCAATAAGCTCGCGGTTTATTCCTCCAGGAATAGCAGTCGTAAAGTTCGTAGACATACCTATGGACGGATCCTCGAATCACAATAACGCTGGAACTCAGCAGAATCCATAATCTTATTTTTGTACCGCACCGCGAAGCGTGAATTTCGCAATTATGAGAGCAGTGACAGAGTTACGCGAATATTGCCTTAAAAGCGATAATATTAGATGCCATTGTCCTGCGCCAAGACTTTCTCAAAATAAACATTTCTTGTCTGTATACGTGCGAATGTGGACTTTATCTCGGAGACGGAGAGTTACGTGGCGAGAGCTCGCGGCGACGCGTGAAAGCGAACTCTCTGTCGTCGGAAGAGGGTCGGTAATTCGTTGCAGATGTAGCACGGCGACATCCATTGTGTTTCCTCCTATAATTTTATCGAAGCTGATTTACGATCGATTGTTCGGCCGGTGGACAGTCGGCGAGGCGTGGTGTGCGTGCGCGCGCGCAAGTGTGCGCCGTGCGTGCTTCCACGGCCGTCGTTACTTACCTGCAGATGGCGCTCGGATACGACGCTCTTTCGCCACACAACACCCTCGTAAATTAAGAAACGACGACTCAGCGTTCTTTTCAGCTTTATTTTATGCATCGTAGAAATTACAGGGCCGAAGTTACCTGCATTTTACGTTTTACTACCTTTGTTGCGATTTGCTCGTAGCGAAAGCTCTCAATCAACAGTTGTTTATATTAACCTACCATATAGCACCGTGATAAAATGCTTAACATAAAGGTATTGCTAGGTATTGTGGTGGCAAATTGTTTTCCGGCACAATTAAGATTGAGTTTCAATACTCAATAGTCAATAGGCACTTTGACCGCGTATTTGTTCAATCGATCGGATTTAAAACATGAAATTACAGGTGAAAGCATTATGATCGAAGTTTACATTTGGACAGATGTTTAGTGACTATAACAACGTTGTTTTTCCATTTCGTACAGCCGTGTAACATTTTGTAAACATTTTTATAAATATAATTCGAAATATTTTTTACTAATATATAGCTTCAAAGTAAACTTTGTCGTGATATTCGTAGAATACTATATGTACAATTTCAAATTAAAATATAGTAAATATTTTAATATTTTTACTAGTTGAATATGAATGGCCATGAGTATTTAGGAATTTAATTTATAGTTATCTAATATAACTGGATATTACAAATGTAAATTATTTATCCCTCAACGATCGCGGTCACACCGGTGTTACAAGTTAACAATTTATTTCTTACAAATTTACCTGGAGGAGAAGTTTTGTTAAAATTACAACTGTATGACCAATAAAGGAATAAGACAATATCACTAAATAGAGTTGAGAGGGAATGTGTGTGAAGGCGAGCTAAAATTACGCAGAGTCAAGGGAACGGGGCCACTTCACGGGTTTCCACGCTTAGTTAAAAGTAATATAACCTGAAACTTGAAATAAATACTTTGCTTTAGGAATATAAAAAGAAATGTTTTATCTTTACTTTTCTTGCTTGGAAAGTAATTTTGAAATACTATATTACAAGTAGAATGTTTCGTTTATACGTAAACTTAATTATATAGAAATTATATATAGATAGGTATATATATGTTTTCATTATCCATGTATCATTTACGACGAATGACGATAATAAGAAAATCTTAATATGTATTCCTATATTGATATTATAATAATTATGTTATATTTCGTTATTTGTGGGTAAAATTTTCATTTTGTTATTTGTGGGTAGGCTGTCTGTAACAACTATACCTTCGAGACATGTAACACCTCAGTCTCTCCCGTGACCATGGATGCTGTAAAGCATTCGAAACGTCGGGAAACAAAAATCCAAATAAATCCGCGACATAATCCGAAAAGATAGTTTTATTTAAAATGTCTAATATTCGCGTAAATCTAAGAAAGTAATATATTTTTGTTTTAACAATATGTGTTTTCTTTCGTGCTAAAATACATTGATACAGCTAAGTCAATCCTTAATAAAAAAATCTTCTTTTCTAAGAAGTTCGGCATTAGTACCCAAATTCAAATAATAAATTGTTCCATTGAAATTATTTGAAAAATAATCACTTTTACTTCAAATATCTTTCATACA